TCTGCTCATCTCGTATTTCCATGGAACTATGCAGGTGCCGTCGTTCCTTTGGGCACCTGCTACATTCCATTGAAATCCATTTGCGTTTTATTTGTCTCAAGGAATTTTCTTTCTTATGTGTTTAATAATTAGTCAAATTGTTTTTATTTCATATGCATTATAATTCTAGTCTGTACCACACTGAAAGTCTACACTAATCCTAAGACCCTTGACGTTGTATCTTTGTTTCACTTAAAGGTACAACGCGTGTTTGGGGGGGGGGCCTGTTGGCCGCGGGACTAGGACCGGGTAGGCTCTCTGCTACCACATCTCGGGACATATCGTCCGGAGCCTGCGGAGAGCCATCCCCGGTAGGTCTCGAGATTCTCGCGGGATAGTTTCTCAATTCATTCGGTAGATCATTTTCTTTTCCCTGAAACCATTCTATCTCCCACAAAATCAATTAACTATATACACTCATCTATGCACCTCAAAACATACCCTCAGACCCACTTCTGGCCGCTCTATACGTGGTGGTCAAGAACAACTTATCACTTCGGTCCTCTGTTTACTCTACTCCGTCTCTTTTCCTTTCCCATCTATCTCCTCCAGTTTCATTTCTTCTCTCTTTTCTGACTTTCCACAACCAGGCGATCTACACACATCTTCCTTCTTTAATAAATTCCAGATATACCTCGCATCCTCGATATCGTCATCAGAGTACTTCCAAAGGTACACCTCATATGCTTTTGATTCCCATCTGCCTAAACGGATTACGTCTTCAAGAGGTTGCCTATTGTTCCATTTAAAGGTGGCTCCTCCCACTCTAAAGGAGTGTCCGGATAGCTGGTGTTGCTCATCATATTTCGTCCAAACCCTTTTATAGATCGCCATTGCTGTCGACTTCGATAGTGTCACTAACTTTTTGTTTTCGTAGTACGAGAAAAGAGGTAGGTGTATGGATGGTAAGGTCGACTCTTCAATCGTTCGATGGATTGCTGCCCAAGGGCAAAGGAACGAGGGGATCTTGTCTAGTTGTAACCACTGCACCTCGCCTGGTTTGGCCGTTTTCGCATTGTACAGGGCTATCTTCAGGTAAGGGCCTTCCGAGATGATATCTTTAAAGGCTATCAATCGTTTCCCTTTTGTGTCTGTTACTAACTCCCCTAACCTTGCCATCCCCCAAAATGCCACTAGCGCGACCGTTAGCGCAATACGTTCCTTCTGGGTACCCTTCAACAACTCTTTCGCCAGTTCTGCGAGGTGACGTAGCATCACTGGGTTCTTCCTATCTCTTGGCCGATTTTTCAATTCCGCATCAGCGACGCTTGCTGCCTTCAACAGTAGTTTCACCGTCCTATCGTTTTCTTCCGGGTAAGGTAAATCGTGGAATAGATGCCACGACCTAATGCCCGTGATATACTTAGTAAGTGTTTTCGCTGTTACTTTATGCTCTTGGGTTCAACCGTTCTACTATCTTTTCATCTTCTAAATTCAAGTCACTTTGTCTTCCTGCCCACAATATGAATTCCCAAAGTAATTTCTGATTTAAAGGTAGTAGCTGACATCGATCTATTTTAATTGATTCCCCGAATCTCTCTAGTTTGGCCATTGCTGTACTATAGTTTTCTAGCGTCGCTTGTGTCCAACCACCGCTTAACAGCCTAGTCTTTATCGCGTTACTCCTCCACTCAAACGATCTGTCTCCCCGATGATATTCGTTAAGAGAAAACAATTCAAGGTGTAAAGGGAGGATCGATTCGTTGTTAGTTTCATTCTATCTTCATACCTCTTCATCACAACCTTTTCTCACTTACCCATCTACGTTTTTCAAAAAGTACTTTATCTTTTTCTGATTTATTACCATTTTTTTTTTTTAATCTCGGACTAGAACTGTCTCCAGATCCTTTGGGAGTTCGATTACCACTTCAAGATCTCTTCCTTCGTTTATTTCCGTTCCTCTCGATAACTGGTCTGCTTGGTTCTCTTTGGACGTTACTCTCCTCGCTGTTATCATACAACCAAGTCGTGTGAGTTCTTTTTGAATTGCTTTCCACTCGTTATTCACTAATTGATTTCTAGACTTCTGTTTACTGATAGTTGCTTGCGTTGTCGTATTATCGGTGTATACGATGAAGTCCTTGTTGGTCGTCGACATTATCTTTTCAACAACTAGCAACCCTAATCGAACTGCAATGGTTTCAAGCCATGCGATGTCACGTTTCTTCTCTTTCCGTGACATCTCTCTATTCATCGGTCTGTTCACCAACTTAAATCTCGCCCATCGATCTCCCACGAGGATTCCTACACCATATCCTGTACTCGCATCCCCTACCCAGTTTATTTCTTCGGGTGGGACATCCGACGTGATCATCATTCTATCAAAGATCTTCAGTTGCTCCTTCCATTCGTTCAACTCCAGTTTAACTCCTTCTGGCAGTTCCCTCAATGCTTTCGGGTTATACCACTGTTTATCGAACCGATATAATTCCCATAGGTAACAACGTAATTTTGGTATGACGTATGTTATGTGGCTAAGTTGTCCAACTATTTTCTCTATTTCTTTCTTTTTACACTTCCGTCCACTTTCTAGTAAGCCATCTATTTGTTTTATTCTTTCCTCCTTCTTTTCAGTTGTCAATCTTACTGACTTCTCATGTCCGTTCCACAGAAATCCTAAGTATTTCTGCTCTGGTGCCCAATCTTGGAATTTCTTGTCGTTTGAATTTACCCCTAGTGCATTGCTTATTTGGATCACATCTTCCATCTTCAACAGCTCCCCTTCTTTCTTCACAAACATGCTGTCATCTACCCATCAAAAGACTCTCTCAATTCGCAGTAAGTTCATCAATATTTCTTTCCAAGCATCCGCCATCCAACCAAATGTCCCGCAACCTGCCACTCCACCGGATGGGATACGTGTGTCTATCCATATGTTGCCTCTAAAGTCCTTGATTGTCAGATATCTCCATTGCGATTGGTGAGTTAATCCTTGTCTGTACGCGTTCTTCCAGTCTACGATGGCTAACCAAATCCTTATGGCCAAATTCTCTTTGAAGTATTTCACCACCTCATTGAAATCGTCCCATGTTGTTGTGAAGTCTTCCTTGTCAACAAATGAATTAACTGAAGGTGCCAGGTCGTTCTCCACTTCATAATGTAAGTTCTTCAACAGTTCTTTTGCCCCATCTGAATAATTCTTCCTTGTGTCTTCCTCGTCACTCTCTTCTTCACTGTCTTCTTCTCTTCCTCTATTATGTTCTTCCACTAATGTCTTGACTTCTTTTCTGCCTCTAGGGAATGATAGATCATTAATCATACGGAGCGATCCGTCATTATTCGTTACGCTTCCCATCGGATTTGATCTGAAGAAGCCCCACTTTTGGAAGACCGTTTTGTGTGTGAATGGTCCAAATATCCGTCCAAGTTTTCTTTCTTTATATAAATTATTCATTATCTTTTCTTGTACTAATAAGGCTGATCAATGATTATCCGGTGTATACCACTTTAAGTTCCCTAGTGTATGTTGAGGTATTCCTTGATCAAAGCCTTCATTCAATCCTTTCCATACTTTACCCCATTTCTCTTTCAGTCCACAGTCTTCCAATAATAGTTTCCATTCTTCCAGATTCATTTCTCCTTTCCTTTTATCTGGCCAATTCCTCAGTGAACTCTCTGAATCTAACTCATACTCACTTCTTTCAGATCTACCATTGCTTTTCTCTCTCTCTCTCAACTCTCTTGTCTCATTTTTAGGCACGGTAGGATCACTGGAACTATTTCATTTCAACATCACGTAACAAACAGAAAAAGTTTGGAAAACAACCAGATAGGACACAATCAGTTTGCAGCTACGGTCTTAACACATTACAACTCTACACTTTTCTTACTTAGATCCTGATGCGGTTGGAGCATTATTCTCTCCCCCTTTATTCTGGTTCCCTTCTATCATCAAACGGTTAAAGCTACCTGGGCCTATCGCTGGGCGATCACCACCTCCGCTTTGGTTACCACCTCTGTTCCAAGATTGGTTGCCTTGATTATGATAACCTCCTCTACCTGAGTGATTCATCTGGTTTGTTCTAGTAAATGTATTTTGATAAGGGTGATATTGATGATTCGTTTGGTAGGACGGTAAGTTGTTTCTGTTATGGTGATTAAAGTTTCCGTACTGACTACCATTTTGCTTAGGATGATGAAACTGCTTCTTATGATAATTCGGGTCAAAATTGGACCCTAAGTAACCTTTCCCTCTCCGGTTCATACCTACTCCACTCGATCTCTCAGAATTCATCGTGGTTGAGGTCACATGGTTATTCCATACTTGTAGGTTCCTCCCCGTTATCATATCCGCGTGTGAGTCTACCACCGCTCCTGCTGTATCCCAAGAATTTGATTCTGGGTATACTAAACCATCTGTTGGACTAACATGTTGTAACGGTCCGCCGAAAGTATACGCGTTATCAACGTAGTGATAGTCGTTGAAGTGTTTTGCATCTCGTTCTGCCTGATCCAATAACTTTTGGTCTAGAGTTCCTACATCTGCCATTCCACCTCCAGCTAAACGATTCTCCCACACGTTCCTCCTGTGTGCTATATCATACCTCATCGCCGTGGGCCACTTCCCATGACAGTCGATTTGAATCTGTAAGCAATTATCTCTATGAGCTATTAATCTTGGTGCTATCGGTGATTCTTTCTGGTTCTCTAATGTGTCATATTTTACTTCTTGATACTTGATCATCAGATTGAACCTAACTAACCACTCTGCGAAAGATAGACAATATTCATTCAATACCGGTGACCCCGTATAACTATTAGTCTCAGCGTGACATGTCGTTGTTTTTGCTTTCCTCCTCACATAAGTCAGGTCTTGTAATAACCAACGAGGACAAAAAATGGATACTGGTACGTGGATGTTCTTATTTATCATAATTTCGTGCCAATATGGTGATAAACTAGTCATATGATTTCCTAACTTTTCTCCTATCACCATTGTTGTATTGACTTCCTTCTTTGACTTCGAGGTATCTTTCGTTTTCTCCGCAGTTGTCACCGGGTTCGGGTTCAATTCCACTTGGTCTAAGTCCATATCGAAGAGGTCGATATCTCTGACAGGTGTTTGATGTTTATGACACCACTTCTCGTACTCGTTTTTCAAAAGTTCAAATTGAGGTATATTTCCGTTATGAACTGCGGTATGTATGTTGTGCTTCCACTTCTGGTGAGTTAGCTCTAACAGGGTATTTTTGTTTGAGCTATCAATTGATCTGCCTATTATATCATTCAAAGACCAAGGAGAAATCATCGACATTGGTAAGCCTCTCTTGTTTTTCATTTTCATTTTCATTTTTTTTTCTGGGTTAATATAATCTATTTCCCGCACTCCATCGGGTTAATCTTTTCCGATTCCCTTTAACATTATTAGGTTAATCATCTTGATCTCCTTTATTTCATTGGGTTAATCTTTCCGATTTCCCGTATTCTTTCTGGGTTAATCATCTCGATTTCCCTTCTTTTTTTTTTTTTTTTTTTAGGTTAATCTTTCCGATTTCCTTTATAATTCATCTAACTACTTGGGTTAATCTTATTTCGATTTCCCACTGGGTTAATCTTCGTCGATTTCCCTTATTCTTTGATGGTATTGACTTTTAAGAAGGTTTCTCGATAGGAAAAAGGAAGTGGAGGGTATATGGGGGTGATGAATGGGGTAATAGTTGGGGTGTGTGATATACTGGAAATTGGTACGTTTAATTTTAATTTACCAAACGAGACTTACCTAATCCTGTTACTATTCCCTGACCACTCATTTCTTGAATGTTTCCTTGTATTATAGGATTGGTCGTCCCGTTTGACGCTATCAAGAGTTGATTAGATTGGTCGAAGTTGTTGGCACCGCCTTTACCACCCATTCTCTCGTCTCTTGCTACTTCTTCATTTTGATCTTCTTCTTGTTCTCCAATGCCTCCTTCAATTCCTAAATTCTTGTTACCTTCTCCTGATTGTTCTTCATCTTTCCTGTTTTCTTTTCCTTTTTCTCCGTTCTTTTCTCTTTGAGCTGTTCCTGATCTGTTCCTTTCTCTTCTGTTTAATTCAATTCCTCCAAGTCCATCTGCATATTCTTGAGCCGACATATCGTTTAAAAGATTTTGGTTTTAATATAAGGAAAAAATTTTAAGTCTTAAGATGAAATTTGAGTTTCTTTGCGAATAAAGGAAAAGAAAATTTTTCGACAAATAGGGTGAGTAATAGGTTTACCTTTGGGTTTGTCTTAGAAAGATGCTGTAAGAGAGATGAAGTAGTTGGTGAGAACTGTAGAATTTCGAATTTGAAATTCGGTGGATGTCTAAGTCACGACTCTACTGTCGGTCCCGGTACCTACTCTCCTGGGTACCGGGTTCTACTCACCCACTGCTCATCTCGTATTTCCATGGAACTATGCAGGTGCCGCCGTTCCTTTGGGCACCTGCTACATACCTTGAGTAAAGTAGGTGGAGCACCTCTCATCACAACTCCTGGGGTACAGAACAGCATAGACTTGTATTTTTACAATACAAGGGTGAAGCATGCAGTGATAGAGTGAAGAAAAAGAACTTTTGCCAAAAAAAACCCATGCAGAAAAACTTTTGGGTATTACTGGGACCTCCTAACATTTGGGTTGGGGGGGCTGGGGCTGGGGCCGGGCTAAACTGGAGCAACTGTATTTCCCTGGATCTTTTTCTCACCCGCCATCCACCCTTTGCTTAGTACTTGTAATTAATCTGGCCATGTGGTAAGATTGATTGTAAGGGATTTTTTCTACTAATGATACTAATCTGTTACTCTAATACGGTGTTAGCTCCCCGGGGGACTGTATGACATGTGTACGTGGTGTAGCCTAGCTCTTTGTGCAGAGCTCCCCGCCTACAGGGCCTGGTTGTCCTACCCCCCTAGCCTAGGTTAGCCCCCCCAAAAAACCCAGACACTTTCTATGTAAGGTATTTGGGTTTGCATAGGACAAACCCACATAACACATGTGATGCATGTAACTTGAGAGTTTAATGCATTTGATCATAGATCTACCATCTAGTCCCCCAGATACCAAATGAGAAGATGTATATCTTTGATAGAAGTTGTCATGGGTTTCTGAAACAGATTAGTAAGTCTTATTGTAACCAAGTACAATGACAAATACTAACCCTCTATAGAGGTAATTCTTTGCCCTAATCCATCTGAGAAAGTGTTGTGCACAAGTTTTGCACAACTCATGTACTCTTGATCTGAAATACAAAGTAGCACATGAAATCACCGCGAGCACCCTGAACATGTAAGGAATATAGTGATTGGACTCCCCCAAGATGACAAAGTTTACTTCCAAACCTGGTCTCAAAATAGCAACTTTTTACATTGCCACTCCATCACATTCCTATTTATGCTCAAAGTCTCAAAAACCATCTCATAATGTCATTGTGTGCGTAAAAACATCCTAAATACCCTGAAGGTGAAGGAAATATGGTCTTTGGAGGCCCTTAGAAAGCTAAACTGGCTTTTAGACACAGTCTTATTGTACTGCCTGTCCAGATAACCCTTCCATCATCTGCAAATCCATTCTTAAAACCTCAAAAAACATGTTGTGCTCCCGCTTTGCCTTAAAACACCCAGAAACTCACTGATTGTTTGGGCATATGAAGTCAGTATTGTAGTCATTTATTCTCCTGTAAATGGCATCCATTTCCTCACTATGCAACTTTCTTGTAGCTCACTTTCATCATCTTGATATTCATGCTCAAAGCCTCAAAAACACCCCTATCTGACACCCTCAAGCCTCAAACAGCACAAAATTTGTAATGGATCAGCATATGAGTGCAAGCAGCACATTTTCCTTCTAATTCCAAATGATTCCCCGTACTCCATTTGCCCAAAACTTACTCATTTGAGCCACACAATACCACTTCTGAACTTATTGGCTCCCTTGTACCTTTCATTTGAATAAAGAAACAATGGGGTGTTTCAAGGCAAATTAAGTTATTAAGCTCTTCAGTCTCTAACCCTTCAATCATTCAGGTGTTGTGCATTATAAGTGAAATAGTCACAATATATCTGATAAAAGAACAAGATGAAGGCAATTACAGCACATATTTGAAACAATTGAAGGGAATACATCATACATCTGGCTGAGTTAGATTATATATTATTCAGACTTGAAAGATGAATCACACAAGAAGATCCCTCTCCACATTTGTATCTCATTACATTGCTTCAAGTTTGTTCTTCTGTCTTCTAAAGTCAAACCTATTAACTATATCAGGAAGCCTTTCAAGATTCAAAGGACTTCAATCAAATCATGAGTTTGTGGCTTCCCTTTGCAAAAAAACTTTCAATCATCAATTTGATTGCTCTCTTTCATGATAATTAATTGAAGGTCCAGAGGAAACATAAGTCAAATCCATTTTTTTCTGAACCAAAAAAACTCAGTACAAATCAATTGAAGGCCATTTGTGAGATACATTATACATATCACAATTGAGAAAACAAATGGAAGAGTTTGACTTTGATATCTTAAAGGTTCTGAATTGGGAACTACACAAGATCTTAACAAAAATTGAACAAGATGCTCTGAATTCACCATCAAGTCCATCATGAGCAGAAGTCTCCATCAAATCACACTCTACTCAGTATGAGGCATCAGATTCAGTTAGTCCCTTCAAGGCAGATCTAGTTCACCATTTGATCAATTTCAAATGAAGGTCAAAAGGTTGAAATTGGACTTCATTCAGATTTTGTTTGATTGGTTTGACCAGTTGAACTTGTAGTGTATATTATCGACACTGCACAATAATTGTTTCATCAAAGCTGTATTTAATTTCAGTTTTATTGACCCGTTTGATGAAGTTTGACATGTTTGTGAGATAGGTGATGTAGTTGCAAATCAAGTATTCGGTTGAATATTAGTCAAATTGAGTTGTTGAATTTTTGAGTCGTTGAATCAAGAAGTTGATAAGTCATTGGGCTGAGCTTGAGTTGAAGGGTAGAGAAAATGAAAAAAGTGGTGTAGGGTTAAAATTTCACCGTGTCCGGTAGCGTTGGCTTGTCAACAAGCACACACAACTTCCCTTTCTGCCTCAAAGGGAGTTGGTGTGGGCTTGTCGACGAGCAACCCCCACACGGACACAGTGTTTGATGGGTGATTTCTTGTGGATTGGAATGTGATTCATCTCGCAGGGGATTAGTAACCTTTCCTTTATAAGCCCCAGTGAGGACTGAGTCCAACAAAAGACCGGATTTAATAGCACATTTTAATACATTTTTTTAAAAAGTCTGGTGGCAAACACAAATCAAAAGACAAGGTGAGACAAACAATAGTATGTAAATAACAAACGGAGACAAAAGGTGTGATTGGAAACAGCTTGACTACAAAAGCTCACCAATGCAGACATGAGATAAAAAGGAAGCAGCACCTGATACCCCGAGGTGGACCTGAACAACAGAGGAGAGGAGGGGTCTGATTCCAAACTCATGCAAGTGGTCCATCTTTTTAGTATTTAGATGTATACTTATGCTAACAATGAAGAATCACAACATCGTAATTTATTTTGATAATTTGGATAGGATCAGATGTTAAGGTGATCTGTGAAGCTAAACTTAGTGTTCATACCACAGACGTCAAGATGGTCTTACTTCAATTCAGTATTGAAGTATATTCCACTTTGAATTCTTGACTGTTGGATGTTTTGATTGATGTTTGATGTGGTTGATTGGTTTAGGGTCCGTTTGGCTGCGCCATCTCATCTGACATCCAACTGGGCCTTCTGCCCAGTCGGGGTTGGGCAAAGAGATTGTCATCCTGATTTTTGGTGACAGATGACGGTCAGATGGTCTCCAGATGTGCAGCCGAACGGACCCTTAGGTTCCTGCTAACTCTTTCAATGATCTTAAAAAAGAAGATATTTTTACAAGGTTAAGGAAAGTAAGTCTGGGTTCACAAACAAATTCAATCACTTTGCTCTCAATTGCTGATTCACAATGACCATGGTTATAGGATGGAGGATCATCCTATGATAAGGCCTGATCAACAAATCACATGGCTCAGTGAGAGCTATTGCTTACACAGTGCACGCAGGTACATGATAAGGCAAGATAGAGTATGAGATGCAAGGGCGGGGTACTGGTGCTATCAGACACTTGTTTGCGCCATCAAGCGCCCTGTTTCTATGAGTTCCTTTTGTGCTCAGTGGTGCTATGGACCCTTTTAGCACAGAAATAATCTGCTATACCGGGCATATTTGAAAACTGTGATGTGACTAAGCTCATGACAATAGCTATAGCATAGTGCAAGCACATATGCAAAAACAAATAGCACAGGGGGAGTGCCGTGGGCATTGGTAGCAGGCCAGGTGACCACTACGGCCACCAAAATACCTATTCCAGTCTGTGCACCACTTTTTAGAAGCATACATTCTCATAGCGGGTCCTGCACAATGCAGTGGCCTGGTAGGCGGATTGCTGATATAATGCAGAGTAAACAATTATCCCAGCTGGATCCAGGGTATCACAAGGACAACACTCAGCCAACAATCAATTGACACCACATCCATCAAAACAATCAATACCCCCATCTGTATTCACACCAGCTCATCATCCCTAGAAACAGCTGGGCCAGCTTGTGGGCTGCACTCAATCCCTTGATCCTGGAGTTGTTGATTCTGGGCTTGCTAGTGGGTTGCAATTGGACAAATTATAAAAGGTATGACCCCTCTGCTGGATTATTTCATCTTAGCATCTTTGGATTTAAAAAGTTTTGTATTCAAATATTGATCAAATGCCACTCTCAGAAAAATCTTCTCACATCTCAAACCAAAATACCCTTCAGGTATCAACACCAAACACAACTTCGACCACCTAGCCCAGCTCTCATAAGGCCAGGCTTTGTTGCCCCCCCTAAGGACTCCGTCAGCTATAAGTATTGTCAATTCTCTTGATTCATCTGGGCCTCTTGCTCAACGTGCCACTCCACCTTGACCTGCGACTCTTAAGAAGACAGCCCAGCGAACTTTAAAGGGAAAGCTTAGTTGGATTTTTACAATCTATGATATCAGAATTTGGATCAGTAACAAACTTTTCATTCTTTTTGTTATTTTCTTTGTTCACTGGTCTC